TCTTCACTAATTTCCAATATTTTTTAGCTAGCGACGAATCAGTTCCTTTTTTATGCGTTTTTTTTTTGCAGCTATGCAATGCAAAAACGCATGTTGACGAGGGGTTGTCTGTGTGTCCGCGTGTCTCTGTGTGCATCTGTCCCAATTTGTCTCAAGACCTAAAAAAGCTGCAGGGCTGAAACTTTGGAAACTTAATCTACATGCACGTACGAGCCCCAATCCCCAAAATGGACGCCATTACCTGCGTGGTACCCGCGTACGGGCCCGCCAAAATTTTTTTCGGACAAGTTCATAACTCGAGAATCTGAGAAGCTAGATTGGTGAAATCTCAGGGTGATGTTCCCCGCCCAAATAGGTGTCAATACACTCAAACCTATCCACCGATTAAGCGTGGTACCCGCGTACGGGCCCGCCAAAATTTTTTTCAGGTAAGTTGCTAACTCAGGGGCCAGAAAAGCTAGAAAGCTGAAATTTTATAGGGGTGTTTCCTAACAGTTCTGGCGGCCAATCTTGATTTGTTTAGCTAGAAGCATTTGCCGAAAAAATCGGTGCCGGTAGCGACAAAAACTGCGGGAACTATGCAAAAAACACATCTTCGCGCGGGCAGCTCGTACGTTGGCCAATTATTGATACTTGTACATATGGCAACACTGTTTTTGTGTGGGAGGTCGACTGCGTCGGTGGAACAGTCACTTCCCCCACGATTCGTTCATTCGTTTCGATGGTAAATTCGTACTGGTATATGCCATGGTGTCGGACGCTCCATCAGCCTGCTTGAAGGTAGCCTTGAAAGAGAGAGCGATCGAGCAGCCTTGCTGAGGTATCTAGTTACTTTTGGCATTAGCTACTGCTCGGACTACTTCCCGAGATTCTCCTATTAGTAAGAGCGAATGCGGAATGGGTTTTGACTTTTGATTATGTGTGGAGATTTTTTCAGGAGCATGAAACGAGTAAAGAAATTGGACAAAATTTGTATAACATTCCGCTCCATGATGAAACAGACGAAACACAACAGTCACCTGTTTTTTCAACAAACAACTTCCAAGTTAATGAATCCGCAACTCACAGTGGCGATTCTAGACAGGCTGCAGTCATGCCGAATTCAGGAGCGTTTGTACGCCCTTTTTATTTTATTGCTTCTTCGGACTTTTTGTTTTGTTAAATATGTTCGGACCGGCGATGATGAATCAGTCTGAGCATATCTAACAAAGAAAAAAAAAAACAGGAGGACTGTCTAATACAGGAACCGTTTATGCGAAGAACCCCTGCGCTTTCCTGAAAGAGATGATATTTTAAAGTATAAACTACTGTTCAGTGAACGAAGAAAAGGGGGTCTTTCGTGCCTGTGCAGCACCACCTTCAACATAGTAGTGTTGAAGAGTTGAATGCGGTTCTTTTAGTCCAATACTTTGAGAGCATCAATGATGTTGTGGAATTTACGCTAACCTGCAACCCTTCAACTTGCAGTCCCTCTGTAGATATTGTAGCACATATTTATTCTCTCTCCAAAATAGACGTAGCTTTCAGCTTCCACGTTCACACCGTCTATCTGCAATCCTACTGTGGGCATGCCAGGAATTGATACCGCTTTGCATCAACCGACGAGGTGCAGTCGATTTCATTCTTCTTGCTTCCAGATCTACCTTCGTCCCTCATTTTTTTGCAACCAGGTATTGCCAAAAACCAGTTCGCCTCCGCCATTGTGATTTATCACCTGTGTCGTTCCTCTTGCCAGTGCTGAACTTGCCAACGTACTTCTCTCCATCGTTCCACCCCTCTTCCCCCCTCCCCCACCACTCTTCCAAGATTTACAGCAAGGTCTCAAATAAGGACTGCATATGTGCACTTGGCGATTAATGTGGATTCGATCCCTGCATAGAACTACTCCGCCTTGTCGTCTTCGTTTGCCATAATAGCTACATAGACTTGGAAGATTTCGAGGGTGCTTACTGGAATCAAGGTTGAGAAGTACGCCGATTCGTGCCGAACGGAAGTGATACAAGATGATTTGTAGAGATCGCCGCCTGCTGACTATAAATCCGACTTAACCGACACTCCTCTGTCTTTTACCATTGCCGAGCAAAATCGCTTTTCTTTCTTGATTTCGATATGTTCGGTCCTTCGCCGTGTCTCATACACACCGAGGATTTCGGACGATCTATCGATTTCTTGAAAAAAATGGTTTATTCATCCACCGACAGCGACCTGCAATTATAGGTGTGTATTGAGAGGTCCGGGCCGGTCCGTGGTGGCATCCGTACAACACCTGAGATTCATAGTAGTCTTTCACTCTCCAGTTGCCGACTCCGTCTCAGACCAGTACTGGGGCACGGAGTACTGGGGCCCATTTTCATTTTTCTTTATGTTGACCCCATAATGCGTTTGTGCAGAGTACATTACGTTTCCGTTTGTAAAGCTGCTTAATCTTTACTGTATTACCAGCCGCTGGTCAGGCTGATGTTGATTCGTACCACTCAAGCTTAGCCGGATAGACGGGCGTAGTGCCTTCTCGACATACTTGAAGCTGTCGGGGCTCTATTTTGTCGTGCCTTAACACTGCCTAGTCAGTTGCCACTCTGACACTATGATGAGGTGCCCGGGTTGGAATTTTGCGGGATGGTGGAATACTTCGGCTTATTTTTACAGATGATATTGTGTTTACTGCAAGACTTACAAGAACTGCAGGATCTTTTAGGTGATTTTGCAGTTATAGTAAAGGAATCGGGCTCCATATTCACGGGGGAACGTTATTTAGATGAAGAACACTTACTGTCCTAAATTCCGTGTAAAACTCATGAATCAGCCTGTTGAGCTCGTAAACAACTATATTTGTTTAGAACAAACGACGCAGATGATCGGCAGGTAAAAACCAAGCAGATAAAAAAAAGCAAAATGGGCAGCCTTCAAATGATAAGGCATCGTTTTCAACACAGACAAGTTTGAATTCGACTCTCATCAGTACGGTAGAAAAATTTAC